GCAAAAAATTGCGCGAATATGAACGTGGTTTTGCGCAGCTCGTCAATGCGATTTATCGTGCAGCCCTAATCCATACTCAAAAAATTAAAGTAGGTAGGTTGGTAACACCAACAAAACTATTTTTTAAGAGTAAAATCAGGGGCTGGTTGCATAAACTGCTTAGACTAGCCTAAAAAAAGTTAGCCATCTATTTTTTTTCTGAAACTGAAATGTTTGTTGTAGTTTTTTCTTTCTTTTTTTTTTTTGTACCGTGTAATAATAAAGACAACATTGCTAGCCTCTGAGCATGTAATCCTTTTTTCATTACACAGCAAATGAATTTCAAGTACTGAGTTTTTACTCTTTTTAGAATAATTTATTTATGACTTGAAATCATGTTACATGTGGACTGAAGAGAGCTTGGGATCCTCTTTTTTCAAGGCTGGTCATAACTTTTTAAAGTCAGTTACAAAAAAGTAGATTTGAATCCAAAAAGACTGATTACCCCTTGGCTGACTGCTAGTTGGTCAAACTAGTTCTTAAGACATAGTGGCTATGTTTACAATAGGCATCACTATACTTTTTCCGCATGGAAACATATACTATACCTCCCAACATAAGTGAAGTATTTACACCGAGAAGATCATTTGCATTAACAGAACTTTTTAACCTTAAAGGGGTCATATGATGCGATTTCATTTTTTCCATAAATGGCGTCTTTGACGACAGTATTCTATAAAAATTATTTGCATTCCGATCTTGACATCAAAAGGCACAAAAATATATTTTTTCTTTTATTCCATGGATTTTACCCATTTATCTCCACTTGTTCCCAGTGTTTTTCTGCAACCACTATGCGCGCGCAGCTGCAAGTGACGTAACTGTGACGTCTACTCTAAATTGGTCTATAGCCTTGTCAGTTTAGTCTTTCATGCACAAGAGCAAGTCTCTATGACAGTAGAGCCGACAACAACTATGTTTTCCATCATTCCCATCTGCATATTGGCCATTGGTATTCAAGGTAGGTCAAACAAAAAGTGAAAAAGTGACATGACATGTGGCCAAGTATGGTTACCCATGACAATCCCTGCCGGTACGAGACTCGAACCCGCAACCTTTGGGTTACGAGTCCGACTCTCTAACCATTAGGCCACAACTTCCCACAAGCAATGATTTATATTTTTAATCAGACATGCTTAAGAGATTTCTGACTATTTATTTTACAGGTTCAAATGGACAAGTGACAGCAACTCAAACTCCTCAAGTCCTAACTTCTCAACGTGATGAAACTGTCAAAATAAACTGCAAAACCAACTCGCCTGTTGCTGACTGTAGTCTCTGGAGGAACTGTGTGTTCTGGTACCAGCACAAACCTGGGCACGCTCCCAAACTCCTCATTTATTGCATACGCGAACGGCACTCTAACGTCCCATCTAGATTCAGCGGCAATGGCGCTCACACTGACTTCAGTCTGACCATCAGTGGAGTCCAGAAAGAAGATGAAGCGCAATATTACTGTATGACCCGACACAAGATTGACAACAAGTATGTGTTCACACAGTGATGAAGGGTCGTACAAAAACCTCTCACTAACTGCACTGATACACACCGCAGTGAAGTGAAACGACACAATAACACACTGACTGGTTATAGTACAATTTAGGATTTAAAGATTAAAGTTCATTTTAAACACAGTTTTAGAACTTTAATTAATTTAATGTGTCAGTGAAGCTGAGATCAAATCTAGATTATGCTTTAGTGAATCTTATTCAAATTACAGATCATGTTTTCAGTGCTATTCAACTATTTATGCAATTTTTAATACTTTTTTGACTGAGCTGTTCTCCGTGATAAGAGACTGTATCAATTATTTTTTTTAATCACATTCCATTCACTCTAACATCTTTTTTTTATGACTATATATAAGGCAAGCAAACATCAAAACAAAATACTAAAAATAGACATTTTACTTTTAAAAGAAATTAACACCATTATGACAACACCATTTATTTACTTACAATAAATGACAGATTATTTGTTACAATAAACAAAATCTATTTAAAATGTCATGCTAAATCCTGGCCCATTTGCCTTATAACATATGATATAATAAATAAAATATTCTTACATTAAAATTCAAATATTATTAATTACAAATATTAATAGAATTGTAAAATAATATTAAATTTCTAAACAGCACCAGTAACAATTAATAAAACTACTTTCATGTACCCCATTTAATTTGAACTTTTTTACTATCCTATTTTATATGTTGTCATATATTCTTATAAATGTTTTAAAACTGTATTTTTTAAATTATATACAGAAAATTATTATACTTATAATAGACTACAACTTGAACTACTGGTTGTTTCATTTTATAGCAGAGCCTAAAGAAGCTCGTTTTATAGGTTGTACAAAATAAAATGTGATCATAGGTTGCTGTTGCATTAGGAGGAAATGTTTCTTTGGCCTTTATTATCCTTTAACCTATTGTTTTATTACCTGATGTTGTGCACTGTTAAACAGTAAAAAATACTTTTATTTTTGGTTACTTTATATTTAGTTGGATATATACACTAACTTTAATTCCACACTTCTGTTGTTCTAGTGAAGATTATTTTCATGGGAACAGCAGAATTTGCATTATTTCAGTGGAGCGATACTGTCAGATATATAATCCTGGGACTTTAACCTCATGACTATTACCTGCTTTTCTCATAAACAAACCACTACAAAAAATGGCATTTTCCATTTTTCTCACCAAGGTTTTCATCATGTCACTGACTCTTTCTGTTCAAGGTAACTTTCAGCTCTAGTCTCTTAATTGATTTACTCTACTTTTCTTTGATATATTTAAATGTTTTGTACTTTGTGCCTTAATAATTGTATTATCATTAACAGACTCCAGTCAAGTAACAGTGACTCAAAGCCCTTCAGTGAAAACTGTTGAATCAGGACAATCAGTTACAGTAACACCCATTTACCTAAATTGATTACTTCAGAGTTATGTGCCCTCTAGAAGCTTGCGTTCTGCAAGTGAACGGCGTATTATTGTGCCATCTCAAAGATGCACAAAAGCACTTTCACTGACTTTTTCATTAACTGTTCCCTCCTGGTGGAATGACCTGCCCAACTCAATCCGAGCAGCTGAGTCCTTAACCATCTTCAAGAAACGACTAAAAACACATCTGTTCCATCTTTATTTGACCCTCTAACTACCCTCTACTTTATCTTTATCTTTTTTATTCTTTTTTTTTTTTTTAACTACAAAAAACAAACACTAGCTTTCTATTTTTTCTATTCTATCTACTTGTTTTTCTTTGTTTGTGTGTGTGTGTATAATATATATATATATACACACACCTTGCTACGTGTACTGCGTTAGGCTAACCCGAGACTTGTCATTTGCACTTATATATTGTTGCTCTTTTGTAAGTTTTGACTGCTTCTGTTGTACTCATTTGTAAGTCGCTTTGGATAAAAGCGTCTGCTAAATGACTAAATGTAAATGTAACATGCACAACTAGTCTTAATGTTGGTAACTGGTGTAATGGTAAATATTGTCTTAGCTGGTACCTCAAGAAACCGGGAGATGCTCCTAAACTCTTTATCTATCAAGGAGATATAAAATAAATTCAGTCAATTTAATAGAGATAGTTTAACTTTATTCAGTTAAGTAAATGCTCATGACAAAGAACTTCTTAGTGTATCCCACAGAAATGTATACATCTTAATGCATTCTACAAAAGTCATTACCAAAACCATGTAGTCTGACAGCTAGTTAGCTGGTTGACTAACCAGGATCCTTCACATTTCTTACATGTGCGATCTGTATAAAATGTGTGGCTCTTTGAAATTATTTTCAATTCGTGTTATTAGACACCAGCAAACAGCAATGTTTATATTAGGCAATACATTCCTGTATATGCAAAACACTCCAACTGCATATTAAGACATTCTTGTGATAGCTGACAGGGCAATGTGAAGACTGCAGAGAGAATTACAATCATATTCATTTGATTGGCCTTAACCACATCAGTTAAAGCAACTTCTTTCATAAGATACATTTAGAAGATTGCATTTTGGGAAAACTGACAAGCTAAAATATAACCAGTAACTCTCCAGAAAATGTACATCCTAACTGACTCTTCAATCCAATGATGCCTTATTAATGCTAAGTTTATTATTTCCTCATGACAGTAACATAATCTACGCAAGTAAGTCAATGTTAATGCTTCTAGCTGTGCTACCTCGGATTTAAAGCGTTGCCACTAGTGAAGCATTCGCATTAGTGTAAACTGTTTTTATGGCAGAGCAACAGTTTGAAGAGAAACTTGTCAAGCTTAACTTCTGATAGCTATATCAACAACTCTGCTTTCATGGCATATATATTGCAACTCTATTGCTCTCTTTGAGTACTCTGGTGTGTTAATGCCACAGTAACACAAAAACGCACGTGCACTTGCAATGTGTTGGCATACTTGTGTAGAATATGTTTCTGGCCTAGTTTTTCCACAGAACTGTGTTTAAGCCACAAAATGAAGAAGATTGGCAATATTGAACTTTAACAAATTAGTTTTCCTAAACGGGTCGTTTTTCATCTATTGAGCTCTCCACAGCAGACACCTCCAACACCACATACGACTCTCTTCAAGAGAAGCCGAACTGCCCTTAAGCATCCCATGGGATTGTGGGAAGGATGGTTCCTACAGTGACACCTGGAAGTGCTGGATGGAGACTCGGGGAGGTTAGCACAATCATCTTAGATGGGCATTCTTGGAGCCCCCTAACCTGGTCAATCACATTTTGTCATAAAAACCAGTATGCCGTGTTCTGTCATCTTGATTTGACCACAGTTCCAATTCCAACTATCCATACTAACTGACAAACTGGACCGTTCGTTTCTATTGTCCTTCTCCTTCCCTCATGACAGTAACATAATCTACGCAAGTAAGTCAATGTTAATGCTTCTAGCTGTGCTACCTCGGATTTAAAGCGTTGCCACTAGTGAAGCATTCGCATTAGTGTAAACTGTTTTTATGGCAGAGCAACAGTTTGAAGAGAAACTTGTCAAGCTTAACTTCTGATAGCTATATCAACAACTCTGCTTTCATGGCATATATATTGCAACTCTATTGCTCTCTTTGAGTACTCTGGTGTGTTAATGCCACAGTAACACAAAAACGCACGTGCACTTGCAATGTGTTGGCATACTTGTGTAGAACATGTTTCTGGCCTAGTTTTTCCACAGAACTGTGTTTAAGCCACAAAATGAAGAAGATTGGCAATATTGAACTTTAACAAATTAGTTTTCCTAAACGGGTCGTTTTTCATCTATTGAGCTCTCCACAGCAGACACCTCCAACACCACATACGACTCTTTTCAAGAGAAGCCGAACTGCCCTTAAGCATCCCATGGGATTGTGGGAAGGATGGTTCCTACAGTGACACCTGGAAGTGCTGGATGGAGACTCGGGGAGGTTAGCACAATCATCTTAGATGGGCATTCTTGGAGCCCCCTAACCTGGTCAATCACATGTTGTCATAAAAGCCAGTATGCCGTGTTCTGTCATCTTGATTTGACCACAGTTCCAATTCCAACTATCCATACTAACTGACAAACTGGATCGTTCGTTTCTATTGTCCTTCTCCTTCTGTTGGCGGGCCTCCCTCTCAGGTTCCACTGGCATGTAAATGTCCATCGCCATGGCAACACACCATTGTCATTCATATGGTTGTTATGGCACTAGTGGACCCACGCTGTCGGTTCAAAGCATCCTCCAGTAACGCCACTATCTTGTCACCATCCTCCTGTGGAAATTTGAAGGCAAAACATGGGCATAGGACAAGAAGTTGAAGAAGAAGTGAACGTTTAGCTGTAGCTGCTGTATCTAAGCATTTTTATTTCATGTCACATGCGAGAAATGATACTGATGTGCTTTGAGATGATGAACATATTGAAAATAGGAAATTTGCAGTATGTAGTGTGAATCAGAGCGTCTTTTAGTCTTACCTCACTGATGAAGGAATGATGGATAAGTTCATTGACCAAATCTCTGGAACTGTCATCTGAAATGACCACATACATATATATTGTGTGCATTAATTTGTGAAATTATGTCACTACTGCATTGTTGGGTGGCATTCATTTTTATTGCACTTATGTGGTGAAGAGATGATAAAGTGACTTTATTTGAAGAAAATTCAATACAGTTACACTCACTTGGCATAATATCACAGCTGAGCTGCCGATGGAGTTTATCATCGAGTTTCAAGAAAAGAGTGAGCTGTAGAAACAGATATCAGTTAATTTGCCACTGATTCAACAGACGTTGCCATAAATACCCCTTAACATAAGTATAATAGTCTGCATTATCATTAATAACAATCAAAACAAATGTAGATGAATCACCAAAGACGCAAGGAACCACAGAGAATTCCACACAATCCCATTCTAAGGTGACTTTCTTTCTGCAAAATAGCACGTATACTAAACTGACACACTCACATGGGTTTTAGTAGTGTCTTCATTAGACTCCAGGTTGCAATGCATCTGGACCACCTAAAACAATGACAACTTAAGATAAATAAATAACTGACTGAACTGAACTATCATAAGTGTCTTTTGATGAGAACACACACCTTCCTGGTTTCAACCTCTTGGGGCTCGGGTGTGGGGGTCTTCACTGTCTCCACATGTTCTTGGGACATGGAGAGGGCGCGAGGTACAGGATGGGGTCGAGTGGACGCAAAATTCATCAGCGGGTAAATGCCATTCCTGAGCGGTAAGATGCACATGTGCACATTACAAACCACAAAAACCTACTTTTTAACAGTTATTGCTTTCATCTGGCAACACTTACTTCACATCCTCCAGAAACTTGTCCAGCTCTAGAGGAGAAACATGAGAATACCTGCAGGACAGTAGAGAGCAAACAAAATTATTTATCAAACACATATCATTGTATCTTATTACATATCTTTTTCAGCATCATTACTCCAGTCTTCAGTGTCACACAGAAATCATTCTAATATGCTGATTTGCTGCTCAGTATTTTTGTGGAAACCATCATACATTTTTTCAGGGTTATTTGATGAATAAAATGAACAAAATTTATTTTAAATAGAAATCTTCTGTAACATTATAAATGCCTTTACTCTCACTTTTGATCATTTAATGTGTCCTTGCTGAAAAAAAGAAAATCTTACTGACCCCAAACTTTGAACAGCAGTGTAAGTTTTAGAGACTTACTTGAGCTGAACGCGAGGATGATCTTTGTGAATAATCTCTGCCATGACTCCATTCGGGTCGAATGATTTGGTCTTCTCCTCCACACAGTTCTCTGGAAGCATGTCTTTAAACCCAGATAACATGTAAAAGCCAAATTGTATTATTTTAGTAATAATAATAATCCATTTAACCTGAAATCCCATTAATCTTAATATGTACCATTTAGGTAATCCTTCACAAGAAAACTATCTGAAATAAATTATATATTATTATTAAATGGCTCAAAATACTTGATTGTGATTGGTCAGTCACTACAAGTGAGAGAGAAGGAGGAAAGATAGCAGTTTTTTGGAGTGGCTACATAATTTTTTCTGAGTTACAATCAATACATTCTTTTTTTAAAGGGGTCATATGATGTTGCTAAAAAGAACATTATTTTGTGTATTTGGTGTAATGAAATGTGTTTATGCGGTTTAAAGTAAAAAAAGCACATTATTTTCCACATACTGTACATTATTGTTTCTCCTCTATGCCCCGCCTTTTTGAAACGCATCGATTTCAGACATTTTCATTAACAAACTATATTAACTTTAACCCTATAATGCCTAATGTATCATATTTGATGCGCAAATGTACACAATCTACATGCCTTTTGTTGTCTGATTGATAGTTTATACTTTTATAGCAAGTAAAAGGCCTATTTTGTACCATTTTAATAACATCCGCCTTCAGGTCCTAGTTTACATGTCTTTGCTGTAAAATCTTTAATGATCTTCAAACGAGAAAGTTATTATTTAACTTTATATTGTTAGTAATATTTTAAAAATAACTTTTACTGAAGTAACTTAGCTTTACTTGATTATCCATACATCTTTTTTTTTTATTTTTTATTTTTTTAGAAAAATCACAATAAAATGTATATGATCTCTCAATCATTATTTTATTGTGTTGCATTATATGTTTTGCCCCCCATAATGAAAATACAGGGCTTTTGATCATAAAACTAAGCATTCAAAGATCATCTTAGTAAGACATATTATTGGGAGATAATATATTTACATTTATATTAATTTTATGTAAGAGTCTGCTATACTGTTATAAAGATCTCATTACTTTACAAGCTATTAAAATTTCTTTTTGGACCATATAAATATCAACGATTGCCTATTTGTGCTCCGTTTAGGCCTCTAAATAAAATGTTGATGTTTTGTCCTCCTTGAATATGATCTTTATATTCTCTTATGTTATAGTACATGAGCAATGGAAGCCTGATGTATCAAATATGCTATTTAAAAACAAACAAACATATGCAAACCTTTTTTTCTAAGATTTTTTTGAAAATAGTTTGTCTAAAGGTTCATTAAACTGTGAAAAAAGAAGGTTTTTCTGACTTTTTTCGATTGAATATACAGTTGCATATAAAGTTTTTTGGTAAATTTGTCCATATTGCATATTGAGTGAGGTGTTAAAATGCTCTTACTAACAATATAAAAGCTACTTTCACGTTTAAAGATCATTAAAGATTTTACAGCTAAGACATGTGAACTAGGACCTGAAGGTGGATGTTACAAAAATGACACAAAAAGGCCTTTTACTTGCTATAAATTGCATATTGAGTGAGGTGTTAAAATGCTCTTACCATTCACAAAGAGTCGATGCCAAACTACAGAGAAAAAAACAGAATCGAAAGAAGACTATGGATGATGATTATATTTCATTACCTTCATTTTTGTGAGCATAAGTGCTCCATAAATACTGATTTACCTTTCAGTCAAGAAACATTTGTTTTTTATTGGATCTAAATGTTTGCGCAAACCTTTTTTCAGAATTCTTTTAAACAATAAATGTGCATAAATAGCTTTCTCAGTCAAAAGTGAGACTAAAACCCGGATATTTCACTTAAAGGAGAAATAAAAAGGCTGAAAGTGCAGGGGAAAATATACCTGATCCAATTTTAATGAGGCCGTTGTGCTGAATGAAGATGGTGTCACATGTGAGGTTGCCGTGAATTATGGGAGGGTCACAGGAGTGCAGGTAACTGATGAGTGGAAGAAGTTGCATGCTTGTTAACAAATTTTCGTGTCTGAACACACACACACAACCTTCAACACAAGCACACACACACACAAATGTGTCACCTGAGGGCAGAGAGGATCTGCGTACACCAGCGTTTCCAGGCCTGAAATACAGTAATGTATCACATGAACACAAAAATCACAGCACTGCACAATAATAATCATGTACATCATATATTTAGACATCAGTCTGGGACTAAAAATGTTTATGAAAGCCTGACCTTGACATTCATGCTCTTGTGGTTTTTCTTGGTCTTTTTGAGGAACTGTTTCAAGCTGCCAGACGACATGTACTCTGTGATGAACACAACCTGTGAGGGATATAACAAGAAAAGCTATTTCCATATAATGGCCACTTCAGCTTTATACCAAAATAAGAAGTTATTTTAGACAAAAAATAATCTTAGACGCTTCCCATATGTGACCCTGGACCACAAAACCAGTCATCAGGGTCAATTTTTTTAAATTGAGATTTATACATCATCTGAAAACTAAATAAATAAGCTTCCCATTGATGTGTGGTTGGTTAGGATAGGATAATATTTGGCTGAGATACAACTATTTGAAAATCTGGAATCTGAGGGTGCAAAAAAATCTAAATATTGAGAAAATCATCTTTAAAGTTGTCCAAATGAAGTTCTTAGCAATGCATATTACTAATCAAAAATTAAGTTTTAATATATT